AATACAAAAAAAAAAAAAAAAAAAAAAAAAAAAAAAAAAAGAGAAGTTTTAATTGTTATTGTAAAAATATTTTTCTTTTAATATATTCTTAAAGTTTTATTTATTAAGGATATGCTTCTTTTTTTTGAATAACCATCATAGTGCAAAAAAAACTATGCGCCACTTAAGGTCTTCACTATAAGGGCGTGGCATCAATATTTTATAGGAAATCCAAAAAAAACAAACTTGGAAATTTTTATTGTTGCACTAGTTAAAATTTTGCATGTTTCGATCCGTAATCCAAGATCTGAATTGATCCTTAAATCTAGATAAATTCAGCTATCCAAATCAGAGATGTTTACTCGGATTGGTTAAAGAACTAAAATAACGAACCTAAGGATGCGCTCAAAAGTTAGCTTCGATATATAATCTGAGACGGATTCAATCCGGATGTCTATCAGAATTGTTATTTTTTTAAGTGGAAATTTGCAATGATTTCCGTGTGTTAGGCGACCACAGTAATTTGAAAAGAGCATCGTTTAAAAATAATCACAGAAATTGGAACTATTTTTTTTAATAATTTTTTTATGAATTAGACTGGTGATTTACACACTATTGGTTTTTCAATTTATCAAATTCTGGTGTCAAATTACAAGATCAAAAATTTTGGGTTGAGAACCTCTTCGCATAAACATTTTGATTTGATTTTCAAATGCGCAAAATAATATATTTCTAATACTTTCATAGTATTGTACCTATTTAAAATTTTTTTTGTCTATCTCGTTTAGCAATTTAAACTTAATAAATTTCGAAATATTGACTTTTTTTTTTTAAGTTCTAAAATGGTCAACTTTGTCTAAACGTCCAATGTACATTTGTAAGAATTAAACAAGATTAAAACCATAACATTAATCATAATATGCACTAATCACTTTATATTCAATATTTGAAAAAAAGTGCAAAGCAGACTATGTAAGGGTATCTTTTACATTCGTTCTTCACATAGAACATTAATTGTACGAGAGACTTCAGTGACAGTTTCCATTATTTTCTTTTTTTGTATTTCAGTTGGTATTCGTCTAATCCATCGATGCCAACGATCAGGATGAAAACGTATTTGTTCCTGACGTAAGATTGATCTTATTTCGGAATTATTCTCAACACCTGATAATAAAAAATCCTCTACGTCGCCTTTTGACAGTTTTTTTATGTTGGCAGTAGGCCATGGAATGTCCTTGAACTCAATCGATGATTGACCATTAATATCAAATTGATTCCAACTAGCAAAATACGAGGCTCGCCTGATTTCCTGTAGGCGTAATTGCTTTGCTTGTTCATAACGTATTGACCGTTGTTGTTCAGCTTGTATTTCTGCCATTATCTTTTGCTTTTCCTTTTGTCTCTTCTTAAATTCTTGTTCTCTTTTTCTTTGTTCCTTTAATTCTTGCTTATGTTGTTTTTCATACATGCCTTTGCGAATGAATGCAACATAATCATCCTCCGACAAACTGTCTACTATACTTTTTGAATCATAAGTTTCACCTTCATAATAATTTGAATAATAATTACCTTCGTCTTCAGCCATTGCATCGAAGAGATGCTGCAACCATTTTTCATTATTGGCTGAATCCATTGATGAAAATGTGGAATTATCTTGAGTTTCAAATGTATGATTATATTCGGTAGATTTGTAACGATCTCTTTTACTTTCGGGCTTCTCAAATCTCCCATAATAGGGCTTGTATTTGAAAGCTTTAGATGACTTCATCTTGTTTTCACTATTTAAGTGTGATGGCTTAGGCGATTAGTTCCGTTTGCGTTTTCGCGGGACTAAATATTTGATAGATACTTGGGTCTAAAAATAGAAAAACTATTCACTAGCCAATCAAATTTCAAGAACTAAAAGGGACCATTTTTACATTTTAAAAAAAGAAAATTATACGAGGCCAAGCACATTACGAGATTACCCGATAGTCGCCTGTTATTTTTAACAACAGGAGCGACCGTCATCGTTACACAAATTGCAGATCGCTTCCGAAGCCCTCCCAACCAATCAAATTACGAATTTTAAAGATAGAATTGATATGAAACCAAACGAAAATTATTAAAATTTATATTTTATATTTAGAATAAAATATTTTAAACATTGCAAAATACCTTAAACATTACTACAA